TGGCAGCTATCTGGATTTTTGCATCCTAGAGGTAGTAGTCCTAGCTGAAAGCTGTGGTACGGGAGAAATTGTATTTTTCTTCATAACTATTAGAATATACAAAGTACAAAATAATATATATATAGTATATGGTAATCCAAATAGAATTATTCTGAATAAACACTGTGAATTGGGTAACAAAAAATAATCAGAAGTTGGAGAAATAATAAAGGAAACATTGGAGAAATAATAATAATCTTTCAATACAAAGATTCATACAAGACCTCTGTTTTACTCTTTTTTTCTAAATTCTTTCATTTTTTTCTAAATCACTCCTAGACTTAGAACTTTTAAAAAATGTGACTGCATCCACATATCATACTAAACCATCTCTTGTTTAAATATGACAGAATTCTTGGACTGAATATAATAATTATAATTCTTTAACCAGGTCATAGTTTGTTTCTTCTCATTTAACTGCACATTTACTAGATGTGTGTTGTTAGATTAAGAATTTGGCAAGGCAGAAAACATATTAGGAACAACCCAGATTGTGGGAAGCCTTCCATGACTCATCGTTATAATGATTAAGCCAACAGCAAATAGTTGTTTCAAACTGTAATTTACTTCTTTAAAACAAGTTAATGGTTTATTTTCTGATCCTATTTGCATATCACTTTAAGCTAAAAACAAGTAATTATAGGTTGGAATGATATGTGAATATAGTATGCATACAATAACTCATTTAGGGTGAAAGAGTGCTCCGTCATGAAGATGTATGCTTTCAGTCTTAATTGATCTAGACATAACCTTCTGTAAGCTATTTATTGAGAAAACTGTTTAGCATTGAAATACCTGATAAAACTTCATAAAAAAATCTTATTATTTCATTTTGGTACATTCAAACACATCTCTTTCCACCATTTTTTCCTTCTGTTCTCCTTTATTGGCTTTCAACTCTCAGGATAGAAGTTTTGCTTTAGGGACAATATCTGTTGTCAGTACTGTAAAATACTATTTAATTGTTACACCTGCAAATTAACATAATGTTATATCATTTAGTGATGAACATACATGTATAAATGTAGTTTTAGTTTTGTTTAAACAATGTTACTCATAAATTAATTCTAATTGAATTTATAAACAATACTGTTTAAACAAAAGACAACTCTGTCTGAGTAGTTTAATATTAGTTAACAGTACAGGACTACATGTACAATTATTAACAGTTTAAAGCAGAAATGCACAATTCTTAAGACACATAGGATCCATTTTGCTTTTTTCTGAATGCAAAAAAGTACACTTTGAATTCAAGATAACTGATACAAAAATCAACTCTTTATTACCATTTCCATTTTTTATTTGTGTAGCAGATAATTGGATGAAGAGTTGTAGGGTAAGGAAGGGAGAGATCATTTTGTTTTCACCATTAGTAAATCTTTGCCAATCTATTTCAGTCACCCAAAAAGCTGACTGTTAGATCTATTGGTGAACATACACCTGACAGAACTGATTTAATTATTGACTCCTGAAGCAATTCACAGATCTGTTGTTCATTTTTTACAAGTTTACAAAACTATTTACCACTATTGTTTATTATTTATTAAAATATTTTTACCCATTTATATTCTCATATATATGAATGCAGTGTCTGAATGTTGATAAATATATATCAAAATTTTAAACAAAGCTTGCCATTCTTCAGTTTTAAAATATGTAGTAAAATTTACAGAAAGAATAATTTTAATAGGTTTACTAAAGAATTTAGTGGAGCAGAGAATCACATGGTTGCTTTAAACTTTTTTTAATGTGTCTTAGTGGCTAAGCCTGACATAATATCCTAGTATGCCGTAGGTAGTCACAACTTCCATACTTTCAATGCAATCTAACTACTTGCTGGAATTATTTGGGATATGAAGGAAGTATCCTGCTGGTGGAAAGGAGCTTATAGATAGGACAGGATAAAATATGTACTAAAAGCTACAGACAACTTGGGTATTATAAAAGCCACTACTATCCCAGGAGGGAGTTAGTAATGCTGATTTTTCTTCCACTAAAATAGAAAGGAAATTCAGAAAAAAGAGCAAATGAATATCTCGGCCAGATGTGGTCCACCAATCATGCTCCAGTCTAGTATTGTCCTGCTTTAGAATTTTGTTTGCATTTGTTCTGAACGTCTAGAGGTTAAAAAAAAAAACAGTTTGGTTCTTTAGTGGGAAAAAACTATTTCTCATAATCCTAAGTATTGATAGATGTTCTTTGCTCATTTTCATCCCCTCTCTTCTGGTGCCTTAGAGTATCGAGTATCACCCTTCACCTCAGTGAAGCTGAATGAAAGAATAAAAGCTGAATAAAGCTTTTCTTCTTTAATTGTGTCAGCACAATAATGGTTGCCTCTAGAGCAGGCATGTCCAAGCAGAGGACCATGGACCACATATAGCCCCGGACAGATAGTAATGCAGCCCCACAAGATTGAAAACTGAACATTATAATATGTATTTATATCCATTAACTATATTATACACTTTATATGCAGCCCAAGACATTTCCTCTTCACTCAGTGTGGTCAGGCAAGCCAATAGATTGGACAATCATTGTCTAGAGCAGGGGTATCAAACTCACAATGTCACGTGACATGTCATGACTTTTTTGCCATTGCTGGCAATGGGGTGGGCATGGTTTTGCTATGATGTATCCGGGCTGCAGGACGGCAGTTTGACACCCCTGGTCTAGAGGATAGTAAAAATGATTATAATAATAATAATAGTAAAGTTGGAAGGGACCTTGGAGGTCATCTAGTCCAACCCCCTGCTTGGGCAGGAAACCCTACACCATTTCGGACAAATGGCTGTCCAGATTATAGCCTGAGAACTATTTCTCATTTCACACAGTTTGCCACCTATGCAAAATGTCTCCCCTTGTTAAAAAAGAAAGTACTGATTTAAAAGAAACAATATATAGTTACATAACCAACTAGCACATCTATAAATAAAATTCTGTAAGTCTGTATATGTAGGGGTTTTGGCATAGTATGCTGCTAATTAGGACAAATTTTGAGAAATTTATTTTTGAAGTCTTTTTAGCCTTTTAACAGTGGGACCAGCAAGTTCATTTAATTAGCAGACCCATTTTCATCCTGGAAAGTAAAAACTGCATGAAATTCTACCACCTTGGATTTTTTACCTATTTTTTTTATTATTTTCAAGGTACTTGGGCAAGAGCCCAACATAGCTCTGTATTTGCTGCTATCTCCATGTAAAATTAATAGTGGTACCCTGATACTCTTATAGACGTTATGTATAATCACATTTCATTTACTGTGCATTTTTTATTAAAAAGAGACACATGTTTGCAACTATTATTCTCACTGATTCTGTAAAAGTTATGTGCAGGATAAACAGCTTACTGTGTGTGCAACATTCACTACTGTAGGAACCTGTAATGTTAAACTGGATTGCACATCTGAATGTACATCTGCCCCTGTGTGTTGCTCTAGATGCATCCCCCCCCCCCCTCTCTCTCTCTCTCTCTCTCTCTCTCTCTATATATATATATATATATATATATATATATATATATATATATATATATATATATATATATACTGGTACAACTAGCCATACATAACATTTATCTTCAAATGTTAAATATGGGTCCCATCCAAATATAATGAATACTGAAAATATATGCAGTTTGTATAAACTTAATCAAGAAATGCTTTAATGGGTCTGGTATTTCAAATTGTTCTTAAAATTAACAAAATGTTAATTTATATTAGAATATTTATATTTATTTAATCTAGTCATGGTTTTATAAGGTATTTTTATATAACTAAACCATTTTAACAAATAAAATAAATGAGAAAAAAGTCTGTATTTTGTCATGTAGATTCAAGATTAGATAGCACGCCATGTTTTAGAGCAGCATTTCTCAAACTTGACAACTCTACGGCCCACTGGGAAATTGTGGGAGTTGAAGTCCATTAAAGTTGCCAAGTTTGAGAAGCACTGCTTTAGAGTCAAAGTATTCTTGATCTCATTGCTCCTTATTCGAAGCATACTGTCCAACAACCATACTGTCCAGCAACTGGACTTTTTTTTATTGAAATGTTTTGCTGCTTATCCAAGTAGCTTCTTGGATAAGCAGCAAAATTTTTCGAACCAAAAATAAAAGAAGTCCAGTTGCCATGACTCAACTTCCAGACAACTCAACTGGATGATTGAGAACCTTCATCATCATACTGTCCAGCCTAAACATTTCACAGATTGGCTTTACGGGCAATTGATTCTGTTCATTTGAGGAAGTAAATCCAAAAGGTTTGCTTCCAGATAGTCTGCATAGTGTTTCACTGCACAATTTTAAAAACATGCAAGAAACAACCAGGTCTTAACAGCTTCTAGGAGGGGTTTGATTGACTGGCTTTCAGAGGTCCAGAAATTTAGTAAAGTAGAATAATCTTGAAAGCAGGACAGGCAAGATTCCTGTACAATTCCAGCAGTATTCTAGTATTTGAAAGGCTGCCACAAAGAGGAGGGGGTCGACTTACTTTCCAAAGCACCAGAGGGCAGTGCACGGATGGAAACTAAACAAGAAGAGAAGCAACCTGGAATTAAGGAGAAACTTCCTAAAAGTGAGGGCAATTAACCAGTGGAACAGCTTGCTGTCAAAAGTTGTGGATGCTTCATCACTGGAGGTTTTAAGAGGAGACTGGCTAGTCACTTGTCTGAAATGATACAGGGTCTCCTGCTTGAGCAGGGGGGTTGGACTAGAAGAGCTCCAAGCTCTTCCAGCTCTATGCTGATTGATTCTGATTGAAGATAAATTCGATAGCGCATGCTATCGAAACATTTTCCCTAATGATCTTAAATTCTACGCTGACCAAACTTTTAATGACCCGTATTTTACAATCTCTCAGTGCATTATTAAAGATTCTAGCACATTAACGCCTTTGGACGAGAGGGCAGGCAGGATTACGTGGGCTATGCAGAAAAGTAAGCTCCGCGGTTTCCGTGGTGGCGATCAGAAAGATTTCTCTTCCCAAAGAACTGCAATTCCCATAAAGCTCCGCTCGCAGGTTAGGCCCTGTTGCCATGGTGATCTGGGAGTAGGGCAAGGCCTAAAATTCTCACCGCCGTTTTTGATGAAGTGGAGAAGAGATGCCTGGGGCCAGGTAAAGAGAAGATCGATTGGGTTGGGTTTTTATTAGGGCGGACACGTGTCGTGTAACTCGGGCTATTCCTGCTATGGGGAGAGGCAGAGAATTGTGCGTCCTGCGCCCTATATCAATAATCGCCCGGACTGTTTTGCATTACGCGTTAGGATATTTGCTGCGCTCAGTTTTGGACAGAGTTTCAGGAACGGCTCCAGATTTTGAAGGACCGCAATCCCATCCCTCCTCGCTGCCCCAGCGAGAGAGAAACCGTTGGCAAGTGTGATTCTATGGCGCTGTTGCCCTGGTTATCAGGAAGTAGACCCAGGCCTAAAATTCCCGCCGTTTTGGATAAAAGTTGCCACTTTCGGTTGCCTTCTATCTTGGAGGGAGAATGAAGCTCGCTGGGCCGCTGTTTGTCCCTGCGCCAGAGGGGAAAGGGTGCTGCTGGCAAAGGGGCCATCTTGACGGCGCACAACGCTGTCTCGGGGCGGCGGCAGGGACCACAAATGAACTTTTCCATACTCTCCCGCCCTAGATGTGAACAAGTAGTGGCGCTACTCGAGATCACCGAGTAGGACCCCGACCTCTGAATCTAAAGTTGATCCCAACGGTCAGAGGCGCAAAGCGTGAAAATGGAAGCGACCAGGAGCAGTGCGGTTGTGCAGCCTTCCCGGGCGCTGCTCATAGATGCTGTTAGCCAAGTGGCCACTGTGCTTTTGGCAATTGAAAGGTCCTACTTATGAGGTGGGGAGGGGATATGCTGTCAGGTTAGTTTGGGTCAAGCACACATGCACTTGCAATTTAATGAAACTCAAATATGATCTTATTAGCAGGAATTACAGGTAGTTCTCATCTTACAACAGTTCATTTAGTGACTGGTCAAAGTTACAATAGCACTGAAAAAAGTGACTGATGACCTGTTTTCACCCTTACCACCATTGCAGCATTTGATCAAAATTCAGGCACTTGACAACTAACTCATATTTATGACAGTTGCAGTGTCCCGAGGTCATGTGATCATCTTTTGCAACATTTTGACAAGCAAAGTCAATGGGAAAGATAGATTCACTTAACAGCTAACTAACTTAACAATTGCAGTGATTCACTTAACAATTGTGCCAAGAAAAGTCATAAAATGGGGCCGAGGACTACCTTTATCTACTAATGAGATGGGGGCAAAGTCCCCACAGAAGTCAGTGGCAAATCAGTTCCATGCTGTTGCCATAGAAATGATCTGGACATACAGTAGATATAGAAACTTTTTCCATGTAAAAAAAAATCAGACCAAGAAAAATCAGCATTATTCCAACCTTTAACATAGCCTATGTTGTTGTTTTTATCCATTTAGTCGTGTCTGACTCTTGGCGACTTTATAGGCAAGTGCTCTCCATGCTGATATAACACATAGGTTGTACAATTCAATTGAAAAACAAAGTGAAATCATTTAGGGAGAAAAAAAAAACTTATAATAACATGGTTGCATTAAGATGCATACTGTTAAAGTAATACTTTGTTGAAGCTCTTATTTTTATAACAGTGTTCAGTCTTTCAGGGTAGAAGCCTATCAGCATGGCACTTCTTGCATTGGGAATCCTTCCAGAAGTGCTCCAGATATATCAAATTGCAAGGGCATCTGCTGTGCACAGCCCTCTTCAAGTCATCCCCATAGACTTTCTATTGGATTTGGGTCTGGGCTATTTTTCTGTCAAAAACCTGGCATTTTAACAGGAGTGTGTAGACTTTGTATATCCACTGCATCCATGAAGTCACAAGGAGTAAAGGTTAAAAGTGTGTTTACTTTTAGAACTACCATGGTGGAGTACAGACCAGTGCGTACTTGTTAGAATGACATCCTACTGAATTCAGTCTCATTTATAATGATTCTCAAGGCAAGATGTGCCATGTTGATAGGCTTCTACCCCAAAAGATTGAATGCTGTTATAAAAACAAATGCTTCAACAAAGTATTAGTTTAAGAGTGTGCATCTTAACACAACCATGTTATTGTTTGTGAACTTTAAATTGACCCAAAATGTAAAGTGTTCTCCTTACAAGGCTTAAAACTAGATAAAGAATCTAAACAAACAAATGAAACAAACAAACACATTCTTCTTGTTCTTTTATTTATTGAGAAAAAATATAATGTAGTCATTTATCATAAACTTTATTCATAAACTTCAACCAGCCAGTAACCCATTGTGAGTTAGTGATCAGTAAAAAGAGGCATTCCTGCCTTTATCCTACAATAAAGGAAAAATGTATTAATGTGAAAAAAGCAAAATTGAGTGCCAGTCTGTACAGTTTAGAATTCAAGTTTCACAAATTACTCTCATGTATTTTAATGATTTTTAATGACTCTCAGTGCTATTCTGACTTTAATGTAAGTACATATTTACAGTCAGTAATTCATATCATAGCCAATTAATATAGATAATTTTTTAATTTAAAAATATGCAATTATTTGGTATTTATTAGTATTCCCAATTTCAGTGAAGAAAGGAATGTTGCCAAAGAAGCTTCTTAGCTGAATTATTTGTGTGTGTGTGCCTTTGAATCAGTGTTGACATCTGCTTAGCAAAATTTTCTTGGCAAAGTTTTTTGGAAGTGGTTTGTCATTGCCTCATCCTAGGGCTGAGGGAGAGTGAGTGACCCAGGATCACCAGTTGGCTTCGTGCCTAAGGTGGGACTAGAATTCACAGTCTCCTGGTTTCTAGCCTGGTGGTTAACTACTAGCTTAGAACTGGCTTCCTTAACTGCAATTATTGGGACATTATTCTGTTTGAAAATATTTGTATTTTATTTTCTTTACTAGTGACACTATATGGGATATTGCTAAAGCGGAAGTTGAGAAAAGAGAAAACAGTGAAGATGACAGAGACACTCTGGAATGTTGTGAAAGATCGTTATTCTTTTTAGGAAATAAAAATGGGGTAATGATCAATATTCCAATTTTATTTAAGCATAATTCTATGTGTTTTAAATATATAATAAAACAAGTAGTCCTCCTTTAGCAATGGACTTGTTTAGCAACCTTTTACAGTTCCCATAGTGATGAAAAAGTAACCTTGTGACCAGTTTTTGCATTTTGCTTTATGTAAGTCCATAAAGCTAAGGGAAGCTGAAATAAAATTGTGATGTTGTGCTTAGTGATCAATTTGCTTAACAACTAAGTTGTGGTTGCAAAACAAAGACTATCTGCACTAAATGTGTTTCTTACTTGTGTGCTCTAGAGACAATGATTGCCTCCTGTAACTTTATCCAGCCCATATCTGCACATATTTTGGGATTCAGTTCCCAGTTTTTCAGATTTTACATTTGTGGGAGATGTCTGAATAATTTTGGTAGACATCAGGTCTGAAAAAGCTGGCCTAGTAAACAAACTTATATTTAAATTTGAGCTACTGACATATTCTGCTATCTCTCAGTAAGCAAATATATTAACCTATAAACAACTGATAGAATTTACAATTCTGACATACTTACCAAAAATAAGTATAACTGGGGCTTATTTTTTTAAGTAAGGATATCCAGAATGAATGGAATCAGCATTATAAAAATAAAAGTTACTCTAAAACCTAAGCAATCACATATTTATTTTTATAGAAAACAAGGACAACACATCATGATAGACTAATTTCTCCAGTTTAATCCTTATAGCAGTGATGGCGAACCTTTTAGAGACCGAGTGCCCAAACTGCAACCCAAAACCCACTTATATATCTCCAGGTGCCAGGTGGGCGTGGGCCACTGGGGGGCATGTCTGTGGTGGTCATGGCAGACTGGGTGGGTGTGGCCAAGGTGGGCGTGGTCACCTCAATGTTGCTCATGGATAGGGACGCCTGTGTGGGGTGGGCAGAGTTGGGGGAGATCCAGGGGTCTCTGGCAGGTGGGGCAGGAGGCAGGAGGCTTGTTCTGCAGGGTGAGGCGAGGCAGGGCGAGGGTGCCATTGCCATGGGGCAAGGCAAGAACTGGGGCGGCTGCTGCCTGACACCATCGGCCCCCGCACACAGATGCCAGCGAGCGCATGGGGGCCAAATGTGTCTGTCAGCAGCCACAGCCTGCCAGCCCCTCGACCAGCACACTCTGCAGCTCCACAGCCCACTGCCAGCAGTTCAAAGAAGCTGCCTCTGAGCTGGATGGCCGGCCGACAGCTGAGGAGGCGATGCAGTGGGTCGTGCCTGGGAAAAGAAGAGCATGTGAGGCTACGAGGATGGGACTAGGATATGAGGCTAGGAGGGATGGGGGGAGGGAAACCAGCCGTGTCGGGATGCATCTGGCCACGTGGGACCTCAGCGAGTTAGCAGGCAGCTGGTTGAAGAGGGGCAGTTGCCGTCTCTGGGGCATGATGCGCCTGCCCACAGAGAGGGCTCTGAGTGCCACCTCTGGCACGCGTGCCATAGGTTCGCCACCACTGCCTTATAGCATAAAATAATAAATTATGTATTGAAGATTATGTGTATTACATACATTCTTTTTATTTCCATCTCATCAGTTTAAACCACTTACTGTAGAAACACATTATTTGATTAACCTTCTATATACAATTACCAATGATTTCTCACATGAATGTAATTGGTAGACAGATAGCTACTATCATGCTTCCAATACTTTGAATAATTAATAGTAATAATAACAGCAAAGCTACATTCTGATAAAAAGTTGAAACCAACTTTCCAATAATCAAATGACATTTAATTTGCTAAGTTTATAATTTTCAGATATTTTCTTAGAAATTATTTGAAGAATATTTTACAGCATGTAGATGATATGCATGCATCACTGACATTTCAATAATATTCTTTGTTTTTAATTTCTAGGGTAAGACTAGTATTATATTGAGGTGCCTTGACAGGTATGTGTTTAAACTTTGAAAAGTATTTCATATTTTCAAAGTATTTATCAACAATATCTTTATAGGAATACAATACAATAAATTATTTTCTAAGAGCACATTTAGAACAAACCATATAAAGAGCACTGTATGGTTAATATCAGATCAGATATGTTTGTGCACAAGTATTATAGGACTTATCACTTACACTTAACATGCACCTTAACATTTGACTGGAGTGATACTTCAGTGTTATGATTTTTTGTGGTCCCTCAGAGTTTATCAAAAATTCAAAATGTATTCCCATTTCCCACTTGCTTTGGATCTTATCTTTTCTGATTTCCAGCAAAGTAGTTATATCAGTCTGTGCTTTAAAAAAGCCAATAGCTTTTGTGGCATTTTAAATACTAACATATTTATGACATCAATATATCTTGCAAGAATTGTAAGATATTTGACTATTTTTTGAAATGTTGCTTTTTTATTGTTAAATTGTTGGTGAGTACTATTAGTTCTTTACTGGCCAGAGACATTGTACCTGCAAATTCTATTTCTGCTGTGTATTCATTTTGCCAAATTTTCTACTTTTTGAAACTCCAAATATAAAGAGTAAACATTCCTAAATATACATATGATTTATGATTCCTTAAGTTTATATTCTGATTTATTAAATCTTTGTTCTTACTGCATAATTATTAGAAATAATCTACTGGAAATTGTAATATTTTTAGTTTAATTATTCCATAAAAATTTCATTCCAATGTAGTCATTAAAATGTTTTCCCCAGCCAGTTTTTCTTCTTTGGAATGTAAGTGGAAAGTTTTGTGCAAACTACTGATTTATATAATATTTATAATATTATAATAATATAATTTTTTTTAGCCTGTCAGTAACTTTGCAAATTTGCTGGGTGGGGTATCCTAATATTTTAGGGATGAAATTCCAAAACCAACCCTAGCTTTGGAATATACTTTTGGAAGAAGAGCAAAGGGGCATAATACAGTAAGTGGCAAACAGTTCTGCGAATGCCATTGTATTAATCTTTAGGCTTGAGAATTACAGCATGATGTATAGTGAGCAGTGCATTACATCTCCTATCCCAAAAGTCATGAGCACTATCCAGTGGAAGCCTTTGGCCATTTTACATTAATATTGTAATGAGCTTTGAAAGACTTGTATTTTCAGTAAATTGCTTTGCCGTGCTTGGAAACAATATTATGTATTTGCATCATAGGTCTTCATAAGTAAGTTTGTAGTTTTCTTTTTGACCATATTTCAATTGACAACAAACTAGTGAAAACTGACAGCTATTGTCTGATACAATCGTGAAGTTCCCATGTCTGGAAAGTATTGCCTCAATGCAGATTTATAGTTAGTAGCCTTATTGTTTCTTTCTGCCTTCTGAGTTTATGAATATTCGGTATAGATTGTGGTGTATATATATCATCTTTCAACAAAATATAGTTGTCTTCAATAAAGTAAATAAATTGATTCCCACTTTATATTACAGTTCTTGTATTCATCTGCCCATATTTGTTTCTTTTTGTTTTTGTCTCATGTATTTTTTGCATTTATAAGTCACATTTTCAATTGTTGTTCACTTAATCTACAGTTTTGGTTTTGCCTTCTTTTATTTTTAGAGTATGTAAAGTAGATTTTTTATTTGGCAAACACTGAGTGCATCTCTCTTCCTCATCAACATCATATAATATGTAGTGGCACAATTTCAATTTCAGTAAATCCCCAAAGAAAAAGAAAGAAATGCCAGTCATCCTTGTCATCTATTATAATGTGAGAAATGTATCCAGCCATCTCAGGAATCAGATGAAAGTCTGCTAATAACAGAACAAAGTCTTCTCATAGGAGTAGTGAACTAATATTTTAGCTCTCTGATCCTCATATTAGCTATATAATGAAGAAGGAAAGCATTTTTGACTTCACTTCCTCTACTTCCTAATGCTATATATGCCAGCAACAATATGTTTTCTGTTAAGTAGGTTCCAGATATGCTTAGGCAGTTTAAGGTTAGCTGGAACTATATTCTCTGTCTTTCTTGGCATTAAAGCAATTTCTATATGTTGACTTCAGCATGAATGATGGGGTTTCTGATGCTTATCTGTAATGTTATTTGTTTGTAAAGTATTTTGCTATCTATATCTGGTAATCATAAGTTTGGTATATTTATGTTTAATTGAAGACTATTTGGATAGAGCCAAAAATGTCTTAGGTTTTATATAAAAATCCTACTGGTGTCTTATGATTTTTGACACCTGAGAAATTATATAATTTAAAACACAGCTATATAAATTTTGAAAATGCTACTAATGCATCAAGACATTACAATGTTAGGGTTTTTTCCTATTACATTTTCAGCCTAAAGATATTGCTCACTTTTGGGAATTAGGTGGTGGAACTTCATTGTTGGATTTAATCCCTATACCAATAATGACAGTTAACATAAGGTAAGCAATGAAAGACTTAATTATCAAAAGTAATTTCATTTTACAGAAAGTATTTCAATTTCAACTTTATTTGTATTTAAGTGCTCAGTCACTTTTTCTTGTAGATAGTTGTTTAGTTCCATAAAGCTTGTGCTGTCAAGTTTTCTGCCAATGTTAGAAATTGGAGAGTTGTGTAGTCAATCCTGTCTAAATAGTGAAAGGTGCTCTCCGAGCTTGCTTGTGAGATTCTAGCATCATCAAAGGAGTTGTCAATTTTTCTTATAATACAACTGACTAACTATGTTAATTTTAGCTATTTGTGAGAGTAATTCAAAATATAGTATGGTTTATATTCTTCAATTGGAAAGAATCTATTTTTTATGTCATTTACTTTTTTATCTTTGCCAATACTACTACTTTAGATACTTTCAAACCATTTACTAATCCATAGTAAGAGGTTTTATCAATCCAACTAATAAAACAGCATAGTAAAAGATTCTATAAATTTTAAGCCATTTTCAAGGGAAAATTTATTCCTTTAATGTTTGGATAATTTGCTTAGACTTTGGGAAAGGATGTTTTGATTCATGTTAAAGTTCTCATGGGTGAAATATTAAGGTGATATCTGAAAAAATAACCTTTCTTTTTATAGGACATTTGCTATTATTCTTGTCTTGGATCTTTCAAAACCAAATGAACTCTGGCCAACCATGGAGAGTCTTCTACAAGTCACTAGAAAGCATGTAGACAGAATTATATCAAAACTGGTACAAAACAATTCCAAAATAGCTACTGATATTAAGCGGAAAATGTGGAACAGTGTGCCAAAGGATCATCCTGTAAGAACTAGTATTTTATTCATATATCACAATCTTATACAAAGTTAATTGTTTTGAGAATCATAAACAATTACTTTATATTTTCACACATGAGTGAAAATTTATTAGATATAAAAGAAGTTGTTCAATGGAAAATTATAGCAATTTAATGAAAATTTAGTAGTAGCAGAAAGGAGATAAGGTTTCTTATGAGTTAGACATCTAATGCTATTGTTATGGCATGTTACAACAATCAGGAGCTACGATTTTACAGAAGCACTTTGATATTGGTTTTATAATCTCCTTTTCAAATGAGGGTAATAACTTCTATACATTTTTGCTACCTCAAGGAAGCTATAGTTTTAAGGAAAAAATGTAGTTCCAACAACCCTTCAATACAACTCTATACTTTGCACTTATTCAAGTGTCTATCATGAAGTCAGTGTCTTTTGATAACATGACAACTAATTAAATATGAATTTTTAGGGATGTTAATACCAGCCCTTGACACTCAATTGGTAATTTGCTCCCTTGAAGAAAGTAAAATAGATTGCCAAAGCTGTCACTGAAAAAATACCTGGTGCTTTTGTCTTGTATAAAAATTTTGCATATACTATATGAAGAATGAGGTCATTGCTCAGTGTGGGGTTAAGTATCATCACTATGCTGATGACACTGAGGATACTCAGTTGAACGTCTCTGCCCCAGGCCATTTAAGTAATGTTGTCAAAGTTTTTTTTCAGTGCCTAGAGAATGTGTGGGTCTAGATGGGGAAGAACCAGTTTTGATTATGGCATTTAAAATATAGATGTCAATGTTATAATGCACATCTAAATCAACGGTGCAGCCACATCTGAAATAGTCCTGGTAACTGTATCTCAGAAAGTATGTAGTAGAACTATAGAAGATTCAGAAGAGGGTAATTAAGATGATCAAGGGACTAGGGCAACTTTCCTTTAGGGAAGATTATGACTTTTAGGGCTTTTAGGGCTGAAAGGAGACAAATGAGAGGGAATATTTTTGAGGTATACAAAATATGCATGGTTTGAACAAATTAGACAAGAAGAAGTTACATGCCTATTCCCGAATTACTAGAACCAGACATTACTCAATAAGACTTAATTTTGGAAGATTCGGGACAGACAAAATCAAATATATTTTTACACAAGTACCTGAACTTTGGAATTTTGTTACCATGAGATGTGATACTGGCTATAAGATTGGCTGTACTCAAAAAATAAGGTATGGACCAGTTCATGGAGGTTATGGAGATCAAGAGCTATTAGCTTGATGGAAGTATGACTTGATCTGCTGCGAGATTATTGGGCTTCCTTGAGCAACTGGCTGGCCACTGTGAGGACAGTGCTTGACTAGATGTACCAAAGATCTGATCCATCACAGTACTATATATGTTCTTATGACAAATATATTTCCTATCTTGCTTCATTTATTACATTAATTCCAATTCACCAACACTCTGGATTGAGAAGAGACCCAGCACCCTTCCACTTTTTCTATTATGAAAATCACACATGTAAGTGCAAAAGTAAGATGTCCTGGACAAGAAGAAACCCTTCCCACCAATCTCAGAACCTACTCAATTTCTTCCTGTTTAGCCTCTGCTCCTTGTAAATTCCTTCACATGTTTCACAGCAATGGCATAGTGAGTTCTGGCATCCCCATTTGACCACTATAAATTTTATTTATTCAAAGCTTACGTTAAGAAATGACAGTTGTCTATATACTGTGGAGTTTTACTTTTTCAGAACGTTGTCATGACATTTGTAATTGATAATACAATACTGTTTTTTATTAGGATCGTGAGCTAATTGACCCATTTCCAATTCCACTAGTTATAATTGGAAGTAAATATGATTTATTTCATGTAAGTAATGCTCATTTAAGCTTTTTTGCTATATACAATTTGGTGAGCTTGGATTTTTATTTTTTAAAATAATTTCATTATGTATGTTTCTTTGTACTAAGTGTTATTTTCCCTTTACTTTATTGATGCCAAGGAATGTAATATGTACAGTTACCATTGGGAATGAATGTTAAATATGTAATAAGTTTCTGGCAAACACAACAGTATCTATTTTAAAAAGGTACTGAATCATTAGTACATTCTTCTTTCTGTAGCAAATGTACATACTTTTATCACTCAACAATTGATCTGGAATACTGATCTGTTCCTCTGATCAGAATTGAATGATAGTTTCACTTTCTAAAATCCTGGCACTGATTTTTTTGAAGAATCACCTTGATCAGCTTAAGAAGCCCTGGAAAATGAGATACATTAATAATAAGATAAGACATAAAATGAGATAAATTAGTAACAAAGACCTGTTCTCTAGGAATTCCTTCAAAAAGGAATCTTTTAAGCCTCAATATGCTTTATAATTTGTGTGTTTCTTAAACTTTTAATATTATACAATCTCAAGGTTTTAGTTATATAGCTTACTTATCTTATTTTAATGCATTTAAAAAATAAAAATAAACATTCCTTTTGCATTCTTAAATGTTATACAACTTCTAAGCATTATTTGGTAGGGTTCAGAATATTTTAGAAAGCTTTCACTCTTTGGTACATTCATGCCAAATCACCTGTGTGATTTGCATTTCAAACCCAGGTTCCTTTGTTAGCTTGCTCTAGAAATCATATTCCTTCAAGATGACTCAGCCATATTCCAAAAACAGGCTGAACAGACCCTGATGAGATATGATTTAAAAAGTTTTAAACAGACAGACAGCTGAAGTTGATCAGAATTATAACTTCAGCAAAAATAGTGTAATTTTGATCAAATGTCCATTAGCGAAAAATCCATAACTTACTAACTTAAATTATACCCAAACTATAGTAAAAAAGAATAATTATTTAAATAAGCCCAATTAAAGCACAATCATTTTAAAGCCATGCTATCCCTCTTTTATTCTTATCTGTCCTTTGATTTAATACTGGTAGTCTCTGAGTTATGACTATTCGTTCAGCAACCAAGGTTACAGCAACACAGAACAAATGGTATTTACACATGGTCCCCAAAGTTATGGCCATTGCAGTACCCTGCAGTTACATGATTAAAATCCAGGTGCTTTGGCAGCCCATCAACACAGCCACAGGGGTACTTCAAATCCCCTCTATCTGCCCTCCCCATCTCTACCTTTTTGGCTGCTCTATATAACAGCAATCCTTTGCACCTTAAGCACACCGCAGCAAACTACCCAGCATCGCAGCACAAAGCCCCAGCCACCCCCAGCACCCTGCACTCTGCAGGCTTTGCCACATCTACCTGACCTTTACCATCTTCCACTGCAATGAGGCTTGCCCAGCCTGGCCTTATGTGAGGCAGCTATTGGCCATGCCAGGCCTTCTTCCCAAGGCCACTCACACTGTTCTCCAAATAGTATGCACCCCACATTCTCTTTACCAAGTTTTCAGTTACTTCCACAATTCCTACTTTCCTTCCCTGGCATCTGTATGCATGCACACATCTGCTCCCTCCTTCCCTCATCTTTCTGCTCTCACATGCACCCCATGGCCTCCCTGTGTTCATATCACAGCATTTCCTCCCCCAACTTGTGCATGGGCCTGCCTGGGGCTTTCCACCTTCCTGCAGCACTCCTACACTGCTTGCTTGGGAGTCCTACCCACTTAGCAAGCAATAATACATCTTTTATTATGACAACAACTGGGACTGGCTGGATTGCTGTCGGTAAGTAATGTGGTCATATGACATCGTACTTCACAACTGTTTCACTTCATGATGGCAATCCCTGTCCCAATTGCCATTGTAACTCAACAGTTACCTGTACTGTAATAGAACAGCTCTTTATTTATTAAATCACGTTTTTCTGTTGTTTAAGTTAGATAATTCCAATTTATTTGTAATACACCAAGCAATTGTTTGAGTTTCAAATATTGGTTTGTACTCCATAATTAAACTACAATTTCCTGATTCATGTACATATATTTATTCTTAGCCCAATAAATCAAGACTTATTGGACTAGAACAATTATATCTAGATCACATCTTAGTTAATGCTTGAAAACTGGCACTATTTTTTAGCTATAGTAGTTTGAACAGTTCGCCATTACTGGAAACGTTCACCATATACATTGGCATATTCATTAGGTTAATTTATTTCTAGTAATAATAATAAATTTAAACATTTCCATATATGCTTAGGATCAATAAAAATAAAAAGAAAGATAAAAACATGTTCAATTTATTATACCAAAAGTTAATACAAATAATCCATCTCTATAATTCTGCTTTCAGATATGTGGATAATTTAAAAACACCACCATGGTTACTTGCCATTTTTCAGAGAAATAATAATATGGTTTTGTTGGTACTGAGATGAAAGTAATATTTGACCTAACTTAAATAGTTATGTCTTAGCTTAAAAATATGTAATGTAACACTATTATATACTGTAAAATACCTAGGCTATTATTTATTTTTTTAGGAATTTGATTCTGAGATGAAAAAAATAATATACAAGACACTTCGATTTGTTGCTCATTTTTATGGTGCATCCTTAGCGGTATGTATGATTATATTTCCAAAGTACAATCCAGCTGATACTAAATCCTTTTTAAGTCTATTGGTTTCACTGAAAATATAAACTTACTGTGTAGCAGGAATGAAAAAAGTAAATCTCATCTTACAAAATACATATTTTAAAAACAGTCCTATAAATGTCAGATACAATTACATATAGAATGCTATTTAATATTGAGCTTGCTTGGTTTAAAAAAGATATGCCGTAAGGCAGGGGTGTCAAACTCAATTTCATTGAGGGCTGCATCAGCATTGCGGTTGCCCTCAGGGGCCAGGTGGGTGTGGCCAGGGTGGGTGTGACCTACTGGGTGGGTGTGGATGGAGTAGGTGTGGCTTACTGGGTGGGCATGGCCAGCTCTACATCATTCGCGTCAAGGGTGCCTGTGGGGGCCTGGGCAGGAGTGAGACAGATCTGAGGGTCTCTGGCAGAAGGGGGTGGGACCGGGGCAAGTGCCAAGGCGTGGTCCACTGAAGGAGCCTCACAGTTCCTCTCAGGCCACGCGGGAGGGTGGCTTATGGAGCTAAGACTGAATGTGTTTCAGCATAGATGGCCACCACAAAATTTTACATTGGCTCCCGGCTGGCCAAGGCCAAGGCAGTGGGGGCCATTCCCTCACTGTTTCCAGGATGGCTTCGCGGGCCACATGAAAGCATTTCACGGGCTGCATCCAGCCCCCGGACCTTGTGTTTGACATATCTGTCGTAAGGGAACATAAATGAATGAGCAATTCAGTTATTTGCCAGATGGAAAAAATTGGCACATTTTATTTACAAAATAAAATACAACCAAAGGAAATATGAAAATAAGTTTGTAACACTATGGATAATGAAATGGATAGTATAGGTCTAAATGGGTAGTATGGATAGTATAGGTCTAAATCTAGAGTAGGACTTTTCAACCTTTTCACCAATTGTACCACTTTTAGGACATGGCAATATTCAAGTCATCAAAACTTGATGACCAAAAAAAAAACCCCTGTTCAAAGTTGCAATTGCACTGAAATGACTTATGACCATTTTTCACGCTTACGACCATTGCAGCATGCCCAGGGTCATGTGATTTATATTTGGATGCTTGGCAATTGATTCATATTTATGATGGTCACAGTGTCCCAGGGTTATGTGATCCCCTTTTGCAATCTTTTGACAAGCAAATCAATGGCAGGGCTGCTGGTGGCCAAGTGCTAAGGCAGGACTTCCTTCCCTCCCTCCCTCCCTTTTTCTTTAAAAGGGGATAATATTTAACTCTTTAAAGGAGATAGAAATGAACCAGTCTTTAAATCTTATTTGTGTTAAGAATAAATGAGTTCTTAAAATCATAGAAATATTATATCTGCATCAAAGTACATGTAGTCCTCAACTTACGACCACTATTTAGCCCAGAATTTATGTTGCTGAAAAATTTGTTAAGTAAGTTTTGTCCCATTTTACAACTTTTCTTGCCATATTTATTAAGTGAATTACTGCAGTTGTTAAGTTAATAACACAATCGGTAAGTGAATCTGGCTTCCCCATTGAATTTGCTTGTCAGAAGGTCACAAAAGGTGATCACATGAGCCCAGGACACTGCAACTGTGGTAAGTATGAACCAGTTAACAAGCATCTGAATGTAAATCACATGACCATACAATGGACATAAGTATGAAAAATGGTCATAACTCATTTTTTTCAGTGCCATTGTAACTTCAAATGGTCACTAAATGAACTGTTCTAAATCAAGGACTACTTGTATGGGCCATAGAAATCAGTGTATGTTCGCTCATGATAAAAGAGGGGCAAGTTTTGAATGGGCTGGGAATGACATTTTACTATGTTTGCTGTGAAGAATATAACCCAAATTGTTATGTTCTTTTCTCAGTTTACTAGCAAATCAGAAGCTCTGTGGTTGAAAACACGTGCACTTATTAACCATTTGGCCTTTGGTTTTGACAGAAGGTAAGTTACATGATTTTATACAAATGGCAATCCTGTCCAAAATGTTCAGTAAGTAAACGTAAACAGATTTTTAAGGCAACTCTTCCATTTGATCAAGGATTCTTGCCCTCAAATACTGGTCAACCAATTAAGATTTATGAAATAAGCAAAGTTGCAAGTGTTGGAAATGTTTTAAAATAAGGCCTTTGTATAGAGAATATTTTCCTGCTTTAAATGAGCAAAGCATTTGTAACAAGTGGGCATTTGTTAAACAAGTAGCACTGTGCAATCCCAGGAAAACCACCGTTTCTTTAAAGAGCTGCAGACAGGAGTTATATTTATGCCTTCACACACTTCAAAGTACTTTTTGGAACAGAATATGAAGAATTGCATAGTCCTGCTCATATAGGCTGCAAATTAAACTGTTGGACAATGTTTATAACTAATGTATTCTGTTTGTATTTTTAAAGCAAATCCATGTCAGTGGATCCAAGTAAACCGCTTTTTATTCCAGCAGGAATGGACTCCCTTAGTCAAATAGGTTGGTAATCTTTTTTTAATTTGGTTGACTCTAGTATAGTTATTGCCCATGCAGATTTAAGAATGTAGAGAATACAGAGATGAAACAGACAAAATAAAAGTGGTTCTGAAACATCAAAGAATGCATTTATGTATAATGTCATTGAAGTAGATTGCAAAAGTTTTGAAAGATTCAAACATTTTCTCCAATGCTATTCTAATTATGTAAATTACAATATAATCCTACAGATATCTTAGTCAGTAGTAAGTCTTACCGGTACTGAGTTCAGTAAGAATTACGCTCAGATGTTAGCAATGGTACAGCAGTTTCAATGTTGTGAATTGCCTCAGCCATCTAAATGTTCACTGGATGATTTGAATCAGCTAATTCTCTAAGCCCAGCCTACCTTACAGGCATCTAGAGAAAATAGGAAGAGACAACAGATGGCAGATGGCTTACGTCTCTTTTAAACTGTTGAGTAAATATTATTACAAATATTTTTAATAATTGTTAGGACCCCCTCCTGCTGCTGATAGTGACATTGGAAAGTTGAATGCACAAACACCTTTGGATTTATGGAAAAAAGTTTTTGCAAAGATATTTCCCCCAAAGGTAGGCATATTTCTAATTTCTATATTAGAATAAATTGATTTTTATTATTAAATATTAATGATGCATTAAATTACCTCCAAATAACCCAAATTGTTAATTCCGTTCACCACAGCTTGGGCCAATAAAATATGACTGAATCCTATTAAGAACAAAGGAACTTAAGTCCTATGGAGACCCAGCCTTTCAGATGATGTTCTACTAGCAATCAGTGTTGCCTAGATGATCACAACCTAGGGCCCTCATCATAAATTGCCATATATATAAATGAGCTGCAAAGCAAAAAACAGATACTCCTATAGGAGTATCAACTTCACTCTTGACTGAATGCCTTCTTGCGTTTTGCTTGAAATATTGCAGAGATAAAGCTGCTTTTCTGCCTATTACTTATAGACATGGCAAAAAGCCCATCCTGCTTTGAATTTTGTGCAATCTAATAAACCAATCTATGTGATATCCTAATCAGGACTCTCTAATGCTGTGAAGGAAGTTACCATTTTTTGCTGCTAAAATAATCAAATTAGAGCCTGCTTCCCCTTCCCTCCACCTCTGAATACAGATTTGTCCAACAAGGACACCAACATCTCTGGGTTGTTTCAGGCAACTCTTATTAGTAGAGCTAGAAGGTGGCTCGGGTGCACCACAAGTGAGTTTGGATCCTCCCCCTCCCCATTTTAGCTACTTCAGCCAATCAGGTAGGCAATTGTTCTACTATTCAGAACAGTGATGAATGCTGCCTTTAGGAGAACTGTTGCCATGCAACCATTACTCTGAAACCAAGCTCTAGATTCTTATATTTCTTTTAATTATCAGTCAGTCTCTAGCTTCCTATTTTTAGGAAGTTTAGAAGGTGGTGTTTGGTAAGCTCTCAGATCCATCTCTCTTGTCTGATTTTTTTCAATCAATATTAGTGTAAATTTAGACCTATAACAATATAGAGAATGTTTCTTACCACTTTCTGTGATTAATTTCTTTTGACAAATAAAGTTATTTGTTCATCTTGCTTGTAGTAGATCTATCAAGAGTTTTGAAACTATTACCTGTGAGTTATTGATGAGGAGATTCCAGACCTTAGCTGGAATGTATGGCTTTTGCCTATTTGTAGTCCTCTTTGGAGTACCAGACTCAATAAAGATGGGCACCCTTTCAATAGCTCCTGAGACTCCCAATATATATAAATGTGTTTAATAAATAAATAAATAAAGCTCAAAATTGGGGTGTCCTATTAGACCAGATTATTATCATGCTGTAGTTCCCCTTGCCTAAAGGAGGCAGCTAGGGAAGAAACTTTTCATTAAACTGGAAGATCTGTGAAATCATAGGACAGTCTCAAATGAGGGCTCCTTGGAACTCTCTGAACTTGGTTATTTCTCTTCAGACTCAAACTAAGTAACATCATCAGTGCTAGGGTTTGCTTTCAGTTTATATTCTAGTAGTTTGCCATCTTAGCATTGCTGGGGGTGATCTTAAAGTTCTTTGGTTGGGCCATTTACTGTTAGCTTGTTTGGCAGTTCCTTGATTGGGGTAGTAGTAACTGTGAGAGGGACCTCGGAGTCCTAGTGGACAATTACTTAAATATGAGCCAGCAGTGTGCTGCAGCTGCCAAAAAGGCCAACACAGTGCTGGGCTGCATTAACAGAGGGATAGAATCAAGATCATGTGAAGTATTAATACCACTTTACAATGCTTTGGTAAGGCCACACTTAGAATACTGCATCCAGTTTTGGTCACCACAATGTAAAAAAGATGTTGAGACTCTAGAAAGAGTATAGAGAAGAGCAACAAAGATGATTAGGGGACTGGAGGCCAAAGCATATAAGGAAGGGCTGCTGGAATTGTGTATGTCTAATAATTTAATGAAGAGAAGGATGAGGGGGGACATGGTAGCAGTGTTCCAATATCTCAGGGGCTGCCACAAAGAAGAGGGAGTCAAGCTATTTTCCAAGGCGCCTGAGGGCAGGACAAGAAGCAACGGATGGAAACTAATCAAGGAGAGAAGCAACCTAGAACTAAGGAGAAACTTCATGACAGTTAGAACAATTAACCAGTGGAACAACCTGCCTCCAGAAGTGGTGAATGCTCCAACACTGGAAGTTTTTAAGAAGAGACTGGACAGCCATTTGTCTGAAATGGTATAGGGTTTCCTGCCTGAGCAGGGGGTTGGACTAGATGACCTCCAAGATCCCTTCCAACTTTATTATTATTATTATGGATCATCGCACAGTCAGCCAGATGTTCAGACTGGATTTGGCATTTTGTCTACCTATCGAGTCCTTACCCAGGACCTGGGATAGGCAGATGTGGATGTTTGATGGTATTACAGATATCGTCGCAGGATGGAAGCAGTTCCTAGTAAGGCCGCCTTTTGCAATTGACTAATAGCGAATTTGTCAATGCCAATGGTGTTCAAGTGGTGCTCCAGTTGTTTTGGGATTGCACCCAAGGAGCCTATTACTATTGGTACTACCCTTGCTTGCTTTTGCCACAGTCTTTCTATTTCTATTTGTAGGTCTTTGTATTTTGTTATCTTCTCCAGTTCTTTCTCTTCTATTCTGCTATCTCCAGGCACTGCCACGTCCACTATCCAGACTTTTTTGTCTTTCTTATCGACAATTGTTAAGTCTGGGGTGTTATGTTGCAGGTGCTTGTCTGTTTGAATTCTGAAGTCCCAGAGCAGTTTAATTTTATCATTTTCTATGACTTTCTCTATTTTATGATCCCACCAGTTTTTGCTTACAGGCAAATGATATTTTTTGCAGATCTTCCAATGCACCATTGTTGCTACTTTGTCATGCCGCTGCTTGTAATCAGTCTGTGCAATCTTCTTGCAACAGCTTACCAAGTGGTCCACTGTTTCTTCAGCTTCTTTGCATAGGCGGCACTTACTGTCTGTTGCTGTCTTCTCAATTTTGACTTTATATGCATTTGTCCTTAAGGCTTGGTCTTGTGCAGCCAGAATTAGTCCCTCGGTCTCTTTCTTCAATTTTCCTGCTCTTAGCCATTGCCAGGTCTTGTTATTATCTGCTTTCCCAGCTATTTTTTTATGTATTGGCCATGTAGTGCTTTGTCTTCCCATGCCTCTATTCTGTTCTTCATTTGGTCTTTCTTGTAGGCCAGTTTGGTCTCTCCAGTAGTCAGTAAGCCTTCCTGATATACTAATTTCAGTGCATCTTCATCATTGTTCTTCAGATATTCTTCCAAAGCCATTTTTTCTTCTTCAACCATCTGATGTACTTGTAGCATTCCACGCCCACCTATTTGCCTTGGTAGATAAAGTCTGTCAATGTCACTGCGTGGATGAAGGGCATGATTCATTGTCATTATTTTTCTGGTCTGCCTATCCATTGCTTTTAGTTCTGCTTGAGTCCAGTCCACTATTCCAGCTGTGTACCTAATGACTGGGATTGCCCAGGTGTTGATTGCCTTTATGGTATTTCCTCCATTGAGTTTGGACTTTAAGATCTTCTTCACTCTCTTGATGTATTCACCTCTAATCTTTTTCTTGACTTCAGTGTGCTTGATGTTGTCAGCTTGAAGGATACCCAAGTATTTGTAGTACTCTTCCTCATCCAGACTCTTAATGTTATTTTCGTGGGGCATCTTGATTCCTTCAGTTTTCACTATTTTTCCTTGTTTGATAGTAAGTGTGGCACATTTGTCCAAGCCAAACTCCATTACAATATCTTGGCTATATATACGGACAGTGTTGAGCAGCGATTCTATTTCAGATGATGTTTTTCCATACAGCTTCAGATCATCCATGTAAAGGAGGTGGGATAGTCTGGCAGATGTTTTTGATGTTTGATAGCCATGTCCTGAGTTATTCAGTATTGTTGACAGAGGAAACAGTGCAATAACAAATAGTAATGGTGATAATGAATCTCCTTGAAATATTCCTCTCTTGATATTAATCTCTCCCAGTCTCTCACCATTGATCTGCAACTGTGTCTTCCATTGTGCCATCGATCTTTGCACAAATTTTCTGATGTTTCTACTGACTCCTGTTATTTCTAGGCACTTGATTATCCAGTCATGTGGCAGAGAGTCAAATGCCTTTTTGTAGTCAATCCATGCCACATTCAGGTTGGTCTTCCTTTTCTTGCAGTTTTCCAAGATCATTTTGTCTATTAGGAGTTGATCTTTTGTTCCTCTGCTATTGGGGCGGTTTCCTTTCTGCTCAGGTGGAAAGAGATTGTTTTCAACTAGATGCTGTTGTACTGCATCAGCTACCACACCAGTTAGTAATTTGAAAGTTGTTGGTAAGCAGGTAATTGGCCTGTAGTTACCTGGTGTTGCACCTTTTGCTGGATTTTTCATTATTAGGTAGGTTTTCCCAGTTGTTAGCCACTTTTCAATTTCTCCTCCTTGTAGTATATTGTTGAACTGTTTGGCAATGAGTGGGTGTATAACAGTTAGATGTTTCAACCAAAACCCATGCAGTTCATCTTCACCTGGTGCTGACCAATTTTTGATTTTCTTTGCTCTTTTTTCTACCATTTTTGTTGTTATTACTAGTTCTTTCATTTCAACTTCTGTTTTATTTGATCCACCTCTTTTAACCAAGCCGCATCCTTGTTGTATTTCTTTGGGTTATCCCATATCTGCTTCCAGAACTGCACTGTTTCTTCCTTGTCAGGTACTGACTGATTCCTTGCAGTTTCTCCATTGATGGAATGGTAGAAACGTTTCTGATTGGATTGAAATTGGAGGTTCTGCCTATAGTTCGCAATTCGAGCTTCATATTTACTGATTTTCCTGGCTATAGCTGTTATTTGTTGCTTTATTATTTCCAGAGCTTCCTTATCTTCCTTGTTTCTAAGTGGTATTTCTTGATTAGGTATTCTTTGGTCTTCTTGTTCTTCAGCTTCTTTTCTTTCATCTGTTCTAGCTTGCTTGCATGTGATCTTAACTTGCTGATCTTATTTTCTAGTCTAACCTTCCATTTTTGTGGTGCACTGTTTGTTTGTTTTTCTTCTTTGTTGATTTTGCATCCCAGGTATTCATTTATAACTGCAGCTGTGCTGTACATTAGTTGGTTTGTTTCTTGCAGTGAATTGGTGCTTATACTTGATATTGCAGTATTTGCATCTTTTAATGCTTGTGCTAGCTGTTTCTTTGGAACAAGCTTCAATGCAGGTAGCCTTATTCTGTTGTTTTTGTGCTGTTCTAGATGCTCAGTTATTCTTTGTTTCAATTCTTTTATTTCTTTAGTTAGAGGGTTTTGTTCTTCCTGAGGAAGAGGTGCCTGGTTTCCAAATGAGAACAGTTGTATATCTCTGCTGGATTCCTTCATTGCCATCTCCCCCTGGTTTTCCTCTACATTCTGAATTTTTTATTATTATTATTATTATTATTATTATTATTATTACTTCTTGATTGTTGGCCTGATGTTAATCTTGGGTTTAATCTATGCTGATCTGGGTCTTGATTGCTGGGAGGGGAGGTGTTTTGGTCTTTTTATTCCCTTTTTTGGCTGGTTGATTGTCTGTTTTGCACAGTATGTAGATATTGTATATGTCTATGTTTCTATTGATGGCCAATTTGTCAGAGTGCCATGCTTTCAGGAATTTTCTAGTGTTTTGGGACTTGGCTTAGTTTAGGATAGTCACAGTTTCCCAGTTAAAATTAGGGTTAAGTCTGTACATATGTTGTAAAATTTAAGAATTTTCATCATGTCTACAACAAAACCACCAAGCTCACAGAGCATTAAGGGCCCCTCATTTCAACCCTGAGCTGCAAATCTACTTTATTGTACAGTCTCAAATATTTTGTTTCTGGAAAAGATTATTGAGATGGTGAGCCATCATTGTTGCAGATGTTACACTTGGGCTTTCAGCTAAAATGGAGTAGCAGGCTTACTCTCCTTCATGGTAATGGCCAACGGCCAAATTTAGTTCAGCTTGCCTGTCCATTCAACCTAGATCCTCAGAACCCCATCAAGCAACTGGATTTTAAAAATATTCCATTGATTCCAGTGGGATGTATATTTTTTTCAGGTCTAATTTCTGCATACTAGGAGAAGTAGATTGACTGAGATTGTGGAAGACTGTCAGTATGCCTTGTCTGTTGTATAAAAAATGTATGTGCATATATTATATACATTTATAAACATAGACTCTTTATTTTCCAATAGAATTCACTATCATTCTAATCATAGTTGTGTATATTCCACCACCACCACCACCACCACCACCACCACCACCCCCGTGCCAACAAGAATGAAGCCCTGAGTGCTCTTTATTGCATTCTCAATAACTTGCAAACTACCCTTTGGAGGGGGTTTTCATTGTGGTAGGAGATTTCAATCAGATTGACTTGAAAGCATACCTCCCTAATTTTCATCAATATGTGGATTTTGCTACTAGAGGTGTGAATACTCTGAATTTAGCTTATTCTAACATCAAGAAAGCATTTCAGGCTGCCCCTCGCCCTCATTTTGGTTCTTCAGATCATCTCTGTTGCTTATGCCAGTATATAAGCCTTTGTTAATTAGAGAGAGAGACCAACTATGAAACAGGTGAGAGTGTGGCCGGCAGGAGCTATGGAAGCTCTACAAGATTGTTTTAGGCCCACAAATTGGAACATATTTAAAGAGGCTACAATGAATGGACAATATACTGATGTGAACAAGAATACTTCTACTGTGTCTGCTTATATTCAAAAGTATATGGAGGATGTCAGCGTTCTTAAGACTATTGTTACGTGGGCAAATGAGAAACCTTGGATATCTCAGCAGGTCCATGCGATGTTGAAGGTGAAAAACTCCCAGTGTGGGATTCAAATACCTGAACAACCAGTTATCTGTGTGGCTGCTGCTTCCAGAAGTCCATTCTGGGCCTGGGCCTCCGAGGCTCAGAATGGACTTCTGGAAGTGGCGTCCACACATTTCTGGCAGTCCGTTCTGGGCCTTGCGAAAAAGAGCTTAAGGCATCATCCGGTTCAGCAAAGTCAACAAAAAATTAGCTACCGGTTCTACCGAACTGATGCAAACTGGCTGAATCCCACCACTGCAAACACTGCTTTTAAATCAGGTGATGTGGCAGCACTTACCAAAGCAAGAGCTGATTTGTGACGTCCTATAAAACAGGGACTATAGTCAGAAAGTACAGAATTTTTTTCAAGATCCTATGTACCCTAGATGTATGTGGCAAGGTATTCGGGTTATTACTGACTATAAGGTAGCTTCCCTGACATGTAAGAATGACATGGATTTTCCTAATAAGATAAATATGTTTTTGGGACAGTTTGAGGCCTCAAATAACATTCCAGCAAGGAAGGCTGTTCCTTTCCTGATGAACAGGTGCTCAAGTTTCAAGGCATACTTGAGTTAAGCAAGTAAATAGCATTACTTTTTGTATTTTGTATTTTATATTTTTAGAAAGTAGGCATTTTCAAAGAAGCTAGGGACCCAGCTCAGGATCCACAATATGCCGAATATGAAGTTGATGCCATGCGAAGTCAAAAAAATGAGGTATGTTGTTATACTATTATTGTGGCCATATTTTTTATAATAAAATCTGGATAATTTATGTGGTGTTTCTCAGCTGCTATAAATATACCCAAAATCAGTGAAGTTGAACTTTCCTGCTCAGAAATCCTCTTTTAATCACAAAGGAGATATTTTTTTCCAAATCCCTGTAAATAATAATTTCTTAACATAGCATACAACAATTTGAGTTACTATAGAAAGAAAGCAGATAAGGATTTCTGGGGTGAGGAATAGTCAGCTAGCACATCTCCAAAGGAGCAGCGAAAACTTCAATGTCACAACTGAAGGACTGGCAAGGAGACAGATCCTGCAAAATCTCTCTAAAATATATTTATCCTTGGGTAGCTTAATACAGGGATCTTCAAACTTGGCCCTTTTATGACTTATGGACTTCAACTCCCAGAATTCCTCAGCCAGGTACACTGGCTGGGGAATTCTGGGAGTTGAAGTCCACAAGTCATAAAAGGGCCAAGTTTGAAGACCCCTGGCATAATATTAGTAGTTTCTAGAAAAATGTTTATTTATATATATATTAACCCAAATACATCTTTGCAATCTATGTGGAAAATCTGTCCCTTCCATTAAGGCAGTGGTTCTCAACCTGTGGGTCGGGACCCCATTTGGGGTCGAACGACCATTTCACGGGGGTCACCAAACAATACAGTCCGCCATTTTTTCCCCCTTTTCCTTAGCTGTGCTACTCCCTTTTATTCTATTGGCTTTTGAAAGCCAATAGAATAGACTCTCTTGAATAGAGTCGAATTCTATTGGCTTTCAAAAGCCAATAGGAATTGTCCAGGCTGTCTCTGCCCTGCTGAGCCCGTCAAAAGTCCCATTCTGCAAACGGTGCTGCACCAGTTGAGTAGTCCTCGACTTACGACCGGTTGGGGGGTCGCGGCATTAAAAAGGTTGAGAACCACTGCATTAAGGTGATAGAACCATAAATAAGAATAATCCATTCTGAAATCCACATTGGGTAACTGGCATGATAGTACAGTCTGATATTTAGAATTGCTAGGCCATACCTTTCTTCCGAATCTTGCAAATTCTTGAATTTCTTTCTTGGTATTTTAATAGACTACCCTTATTTGTTTATGCCGTTCATTCAGTATCTTATTCTCAATAGGGATTAAAATAATTTGAAATAGAAATTTTAGTCTTGGTAGAGTATTCACTTTAACTGCTATAGCTCTTCCTAATCAGGACAAATTTTATTTTTTCTATCTTCAAATATCAAATATTATATGTTTCCAAACTGGGAAATAATAATTCTTGAATTGTTATTTAGCCTTTTTTTAGCAGTAAAGTTAATGCCAGTTAGCCAATTCATAAATTGCTTTTCATCTTCTATTAAACTCCATATCAAGATCTAAGTTTTCTCTTTATTAATTTGAGACGTTTTCATCAATGTATATAGTAATGATGGCAAACCTTTTAGAGACCCTGTGCCCAAACTGTAATCCAAAACCCACTTATTTATTGCCGGGTACTGGGTGGGCATGGCCCATTGGGTGGACGTGGCTACAGCGGTCATAGCAGACTGGGTGGGCGAGGCCATGGTGGGTGTGGCCACCTTGATGTTGCTTGTGGGGAGGGACACTGGTCGGGGCTGAGCAGGGTTGGGGGAGATCCAGGGGGTTGATGGCAGGTGGGGTGATGGGCAGGAGGCTTATCCTGTGGGGTAAGACAAGGCGGGCAGGGCGGGGGTGCCATAAACTTTCCCACCTCCCACGTGGGCAATGCCTCTTCTGAGATAAGCCCACGTGCACCTTCACACGTCTGGCAACGTGGAAGTACGAGCATTCAGAGAGAAACTCCTCAAGAAGAAGAGCGCGCACATATTCCCCCACCCAGCTGGGGCTTTTCCAGCCCCGTCCTCTGCTTTCAAGGCTCCAAACAGCCTGCTTCCATTGAGACTGTGGCTTCCTGGAAGATGGGGACCAGAGTCAGCTGCAGCAGACAGGGGATAATAAAAGCTTAAAATAAAAATAGAAATCTAAAAAGAGCCAACACTTTCTGACCAAGGGGGCACAGAAAGGGTGGCATTTGTGGAAGGGGGCTACACAGCAACACCGGTTTGACAATGGTGGAGGAGACGAGGTTTAGGCCGTGCACTTAAAGGGGGTGACCCCCACTACGCTTGGTTGGTTCTCCCAAAGAAGTTCCTGCACCGCTTTGAGCCCCGTGTTCTCATGGCCCGCAGCGGTTTGTTGCCAAGGCCGTGTTGGAGCCGGTGCCCCCAAATGGAGAAAGTGAGTGTCCCACCAGGCCCAACACACCTGCTAGCAGCAGGAGCCTCCCGGTTCCTCTGCTCACCGTGATGGGAAATAGTCCCAGAAATGTCGCCAGACAGCCCAGATGGAGCGGCACCACCTGCGAGACAGTGTCTCCCAGTCCTGGTAAAGCCAGGCCACGTATCCAAGCGCCAGAGGCCAGCTGTCTGTGAGCAGCAGCACCAGGTAAAGCCCAGGCAGCACTGGGCTACGAGAGAGGCAGCGGGTGACCCTCTCCTCTGCCTCGCCAGCCCCCGAGCAGCAGCAGCTGTGGCATTCTGAATGTGCTTAGGAGTCTGCCACTCCAGCTGCTCCTGTCTGTGGACAGCCCCAGCTGAGAGGAAGTGGTGGCGCCCTGCAGGGCTGGAGCAGTCAGGGTTTGGGAAAGTAGGCCCACGCGAAGCAAGGTAAGTCACCGCCTGCAAGAGCCAATCCAGGCACTGTAACTGCCTGCCCATACCTGCCTTGGGCTCCCTTCATGGCCATCGGCCCACCACGCCATATTAGCCATGACTGCTGGCCAACGCTGCCTCTCCTGCGACCTCCCCCGCGGCTGGGACAGAGCCAAGTTTGCTGCCGCTGCCTGCACCATCCCATCCTCACCCAGCGCCAGGAAGGAGAAGACCCACTGGAGGACGGCGGCCGTTTGGAAGCATCGCCAGAGCGGCAGGCATAGCGGGACAAACTGCAATCACATGGCCAGTGTGACAGTGTCGGGCTCCTACAGGTTTCCTACCAAGCGCAGCTGCAGCTTATCACAGAGGGACAAGCTCTTCCTCCTCCTGCCCTGCCCGCCCGTAAGCGAGGCGCGGCTGCACTGCTGCAGGGGGGAAGGGGCACTTCCTCGATGGCAGCTCCAGGCTGGCTGGCCTTAGACCAGTGATTGCAAACTTTTAGAGACCACATGTGCTGGGGCAATGGCGCATGCCCACAGAGAGAGCTCCACATGCTACCTCTGGCACGCGTGCCATAGGTTCACCACCACTGGTATATAATATAGCTTTCATCAACGTTGTTAAAGAGGCTCTACAATGAACAATTGTTTTAAAGGTGTGCTTATTTGTATGAAATAACAATGCATGAATATCTATTTATATAAATAAATGTCAGATTTGAATTCAGTGTTGCAGAGGGACTATTATAGTCTCCTAACTTTGATTTGAGTGTTCCTAAATCCTGGACTACATTAGCATTAAATCAAAGCTAGTTTTGTAAAAATAGGTCCATATAACATATTTTAAAATCATAAACAACTGCATATTTTCTATACAACTTTCAGAATTCTGAATTTCCGCAGTATATTTAAAGACCAAGTTTAATATAAATGCATCTTAGGGATCACATCATTAGTAGTGAACCAAATTATTATCTTAATGATATAATGTTTATTTATGGAGCTGAAATCATTTGCAATTAAATACATACTCTAGGGTACTTCCACTAGATGACAAATAAATTTGGAATGACAGATTTAGGTCATTAATTGTGATACTGATTTGTGTATGAATATATGTACATTCCACTGGATTATGACTTTCATAGAGCTCAGATATGTTACTGAATTTATTTTGTCTCTTAGAATAGAACATTCAGTTTAATTGCTTGTCATATACGTTCTTGCTTTTCATTCATTCAAAATGTGATTTGGTGCTGCTTTTATTAACAAAATAGGAAAAATAGGATAGCAGTAAGATTAATTTTCAATACGATTTAATCTTTTTCCAGGAGTTTCTTAGTTGCAGTGTTCATTTCTTTTAGAAAGATTATTATCGTTATTAATGCCATTGAATATTGCTACAGCTTTTGTTGCTGGTACTATTGCAGGAAAAATATGGTAATAGACAAGTTTCTGTCAAAAGAAAATTATCTGCAGTTATTCTCCTAAAATTTCCATTTGAAGTTCAGTTATTATAAGATTATTGTAACATTTGAACTGGCTTTTATGAAAACATTTTGGGATTTTTATATTTCATTTGATTTTAAAAGCTGCCAGATAACCCTGAATACATCTGTAAGAAAACAATTCCCTAGCTACATTCAGTTTTTAAATGCTTTAGGATTTCCCATAATTATATAAAAATTGAGAGCGAAATGGCTGTTATCTTAAGAATAAGTATTAAATGCTTCAGAAAGCTAATCTTTTCCCACCTTTTTGTAGTCCTTTGTTCCATACATTCTTTTAAAGATAAAACATTTATAGAGAGAAGAGCATTTATGCTAAAGGTATACTGTCAAATATAATGCTTTGTATTATGTTTCTTGGAGGTATTCATGCATGGTAGCATTTTAGTTCATGCATTCTTCCATGATCATTTCATGTTGCTCTTTAGACTCAGAATGTCTATCTATAGAGTTTTATATACTTCTCATATTGCTGCTGACATTAGGGACCATGAATTGGAAGCAGTACCATGGATTTCTATTTCTAACTAAATCTTTCTCAAAGTCAAAGAAAAAAAACTGTCCTAGAATGAAACTGTTTGAATTTTCTTTGCATTGATGCTCAACTGCCATGAAAAATGCCTACCATTATTCTCAAATACACCACATGTCCATGTATATCACTTTACTACTTTCTTACGACTTTTTCATTCGGCATATATGTTTTTTCAATTGATAATAAGACTGGCATTGAATTTCAATGAAGTTACCTTGTAGTGACAGTGAAGAGGCTCAGCTATTAGAAGATACTTAAAATCACAGGATTTAAGATTTTGTTTACTTCAGATTCTCTTAATGCAAATAAGTTGATAGAATAAACCTATATTGTCAATATTATGCACTTCAGTGGTATTGTGCAATAATTAATATTTTTATTTATATCATTATCAGACTGTGATACTAAAAAATAATTTTGGTAAGCTGTACTTAAAATAAGGAAATTCCCCATTCCTAATCCTAACTGAGAATGGTTTACAATCAGTTAACTCAGAATTAAGACTTATTTGATTAGCAGAGATCACAGCTGCAACATAATCATTTTTCCATTTGAGAAACAATTCAAACTAATCTTAGTGCTACATCCTGAAATGGATGACACTAGATTTAATTTCTAGCTACTTTAAAAACCAATTATAGCTCAGTTGTTTAGTACTTAGTACAATTGTTGATATTTTTCAAGTTGTTTGCACGGTTGTTAGTATTCAAGTCACTTTCCACTTTATCTGATCAGATAAGTAAATATGCACCTGGAGAACAAGAAGGGACTGAAAAGGTATGCACTCAATTTGAGAAGTTCATTAACAATAGTGCAAATTTTACAGAAAGATATGTCACAAACTAAATCATAATTTATGAAATACCCATAATTATAAAAATGTTTTCATTTTATTTTATTTTTTTTTATTGAAAATTTTTTAAAATTTTACAAAAACAAAACAACCCAACCCCAAACCTCCCCAACCCTCCCATTCCCTCCCCCGACCTTCCCAGAGCTGAATACAGGCTTAATTAAAATTTCTTCAAAAAATCTTAAAAAAGATATAAACCATGAATAAATCTAAGTACATTAATTGAACAAATTATAAAATAATTAACAATAATATATGTATAGAAAAACATAAATACCAAAAGAAAAATGCTTTAAAGAAAAAAGAATAAAAAAAGAAAAAGATAAAAGAAAATATAATAAAAATAAAAAAGAATAAAGTCTATAAAATGTTTTAAATTTTAAATATAAGTTATTGAAAAACTAAATAATATTTTTATATCCAACTTATATTATATAAAATCTATCCATTTTTTCCATACCACAAAATACTTCTCTTGCGATTGATCCTTCAAAAAAGCCGAAATCTTTGCCATTTCCGCCAAATAAGAAACTTTAAAAAACCACTCTTGCAAAGTAGGCAAAGATTCCTTGTCCAACAAAAAATGTTTTCATTTTATTATAATGCCAAATGGTCACGTCCGCATTTATATTTTTCCATTTTGAAAATTCAAAATCAATTCACTTTTTAACTGTTGACTCACTAAATAAAAAGCTATTTCCATACCTCGGTATAGCCTGGGTAAGGGCTCTTTGAAACTGCAAGTGATTGATATGAGTGCTCTTATAGTAATAAACTTCAGTAATTTTCTAGCAAATCTTGGCATTGGAATGGCATTCAGAAACAGTATGAAATTAAAAAATAAAACTACAGTTTGCTTAATGTAAAAAATGTACCTGAAAACTCTTTAACCATGGCTTATTCTGTGAATTTCTTTTTCATCATATTTATGATTAAAATGTATGAATATATCACTACAATTTTTTATTATTATTATTATTATTATTATGGATCATCACACAATCAGCCAGATGTTCAGACTGGATTTGGCATTTTGTCTACCTATTGAGTCCTTACCCAGGACCTGGGATAGGCAGATGTGGATGTTTGATGGTATTACAGATATCGTCGCAGGATGGAAGCAGTTCCTAATAAGGCCGCCTTTTGCAATTGACTAATGGCAAATTTGTCAATGCAATGGTGTTCAAGTGGTGCTCCAGTTGTTTTGGGATTGCACCCAAGGAGCCTATCACTATCGGTACTACCCTTGCTTGCTTTTGCCACAGTCTTTCTATTTCTATTTGTAGGTCTTTGTATTTCGTTATCTTCTTCAGTTCTTTCTCGTCTATTCTGCTGTCTCCAGGCACTGCCACGTCCGTTATGATTATTGTGATTATTATTCCTTATGATTATTATTCCTTATTATTAACAGATTTGTATCCCACTTTTTATTCTTTTAATATTTGGTCAGCTCAAGGTAGCAAACATACCTGGTACTTTTGCCTTTTTTCCCCCAACACAGCAATCTTGTTGAGCTGTGAAAAAGTGATTGGCCCCAAGTCACCAGCTGACTTTCATGCCCAAGAAAGGCCTAAAACTCACAACCTCCTTTTTTCTGGTCCAGCACCTTAACCACTATGCCAAATTGGTTCTCCCTGATATTTTCAGTGCAGGGCTTCTTTTCTTCTAGATGTTCAGACTTATCTTTCATATGTTATGTTTTTCTGTTTTAAAACTTACATTTATGTATTATTTTGTTATTACACTGATTTAATTTTAATTTAATTTATTAAACTTGTATGCCACATGACTCTCAATTATTCTGGGTGGCTCACAACAGTTGAATAAAATTAATAAAACATTAACATACATCTTTATTGATATCAGGTGGGTGTGCTGGGTTCTGCATCGTATTATTACTCATATTATTGATATAAGATTCATACTTTCAGTATCCAACAGTTCAAATAAAATTGATGTAGTGATAAACAGGCATTTCAAATACTAAAACAGCGATATACTAATTTTTAAAGATTTCTGATATATTTTTAATATGTACATGCCATCACTTTTATCAGAAGCATGAAATTAGTGATTAAACTGGTCAATAAGTTATGTGAGGGAGATAATCATTAGAGTTATCCTTGTTTAGAGGCATTCTTTTTGTGGCTTTTTTCAAACTATTATTTCAGATCTATATAAAAAAAATCCAAGTTCGGGTATTTTTTATGTGGAAGATATCCAATCTATGATTTGAGCTAAATAGACAATATTGGAATTTTCAACTATTCCTGAAGCATCTGTTTCTCCTTGTCCTGTGCCACTTCTATGAATAAGCTCTTCCCACCACCAAGGCCAGTCCCCTTGAGCACCTGTCATATATGCAGAAAGCTACACTCACAAGTTTATGTGTACTAGACAACTCGTAATCTGTGGGGTTATCCTTTCAAATATATTTTTTTACTTAAGTAGGGAAACAGAATGACCATAGGTGGGCAAAAAAAAGTAGTGAGATTGGGAGCAACTTCCAATTTCCTGCTGCCTTCACCATTGGTTTTCCTTGTAGGAAGCTAGCAAGGAGCACTGGAAATGATAGTTAGGTAATCATGGTGGCACAACAGCCCTGAAGCAGCCACAACTGCCCAAATTCAATTCCGTGGGAATCATGGGTTCCTGGGTTTGGGGTGCATTCTTAAGTTAGCCATTTGAAGTACAGTACATTGATTGCCCTATGATGCACCAATTTGCCCAATGAAAATTACAAACAATCAGACACAAGAATTTTAGTAGTATATAGATACTTGTAGGATACAAAGGGAAAAGTTTGGGTCTGATTCAATATGTGCAGTAGAATATAAGATGAGATGGATAGTTGGATTCATAATATTCGCAAGCTGAAAAGTGCAATGCAGTTGTTGAGATCTTGAGATTTAATGTTTCATTCTATATTTTCCTTTCAGGAATTAGAACAGTACAAAAGAAATGCTGCTAAAACCTGGAAAGAAATAGAATTTGATTCTTGACTGTATCCAGCTTTCAATTTAAACCTATATTTCATTCCTTTAAGTGGATCCAAGTAAGATTGATAACAGCTGTTTAATATATAAATGAATTAAAAATATTGTACTTATTGTTGTTGGCTACACTGAAGTAAAAGTTTGAGTAAATAATTCCTGTAATTATATAACATTGTGGTATGTTGTTTACCAGCTGAGCTATAAACATCCATAAATTTTCTACAAATCAGCACATGCAATAAATATTATGTTTTAAACCAGGGGTGTCAAACTGCTGACCTGCGGACCGGACGCATCACGTGGAAGCTGCACCCACCCCATTGCCAGCAATGGCAAAACTGGTCCAATACTGTCCAATAGTTTAAAACATGCCTGTTTTAAACTATTGGACAGTGCTAATACATTTAGTTCTGTTTCTTGCAGACTGTTTTTGTTTAAATTGAGGAGTGCACCGATTTTACTGATCTTAGCAAAAGTATACTTGAAAATAAGAAAATTCATGTGTAAGTTTTCACACAATAACTTAAACCAATTAAACTGCATTGAAAAGTATGCAGATTTTAAAGAAAGTTTTCAGGTCAAGATAAATTTCTCATGCATGTATAAATACATATATATGACATTTTTCGTAACAATTTCAATAAAAAGTAATTGTCCATGGCTATGCTTAACTGGTTTGTAAGATACAACTAACATCGATTACATCGATCCACTGGTTAACTGAGGACATAAATTTGTTTTTTCGATACAAGTAGTCCTCGTTTAGTGACTATTTGACAGTGCTGAAGGAAAAGACTTACAGCTTGTCCTCGAAATTGAGATCATCATAGCATCCCCCTGGTCACATGATCACAATTCAGGCACTTGGCAACTAGCTCACAGTTATGCAGTCACATGAATTATTTGTGACCTTCCCTGCCAGCTTTCAACAAGCAAAGTCGATGAGAAAGCCAGCAGGTGGTCAGAAATAGTAATCACGTGACATCATGCCTAAGGACCACACAGGATTTGTTTAACGACCTCACTGGAACTATTGTTAAAAGTGAGTGCACTCACGACGACATTGTTTAGAACAGAGATCCCAATCCCAATTACCATTGGTAATCAAGGACTAACTAACAAGGAATCTGTTTCTATTGTCCAGCTGCAGTTTCCAATTTGAAGGGATGTCGTTCAAAGGTATGTGTACATCTAAAAATATTAAACTTTGTTTCAAAATCAAATAAATATGTAATTACCAGAACATATTAATTCCAATAAAGCCTTGTCTTATTCCTTTCCTGGCTTGGCACCAATCTATTTTGCCATATTCCATCTGGACTGCAGCTTATCCTATATATACAGTAGGTTTTTCCATTTCCATTTTCTGAAGGGCATTCCACCGCTTATTAAGGTTAACACAATTAAAGGCCTTGCTATAATCTGTAGAGCTCATATTTAGTTTTCTCAATCCAGTTTACATCAAAAAGCTTTCTTGTTTCTCAACCTATTCTGAAAATCCAGCTTCAATATCTGGCATCTCCCTTTCCATTTAGGAATCTAATCTGTACTGAATGATCCTAAACATTACTTTGCTAGTGTGTGACTTAACAATATAATGTAATTGGCACTCTCTTAAGTCTCCTTTCTTTTGCTATTGTATGTTGACTGATCTCTGTTATCTTTGTGTTGTTTTCCAGATTGACTGACATAGTTTAGTTAGAATCTTTACAGATTTTTCTTTTGTTACTTGCCATATTTCTTGAGATATTCATCAGTTCTCATAACCTTGAGATTTGGTAATGACCAGACTACCAATCAAACTTCATCTTCTAATACATTTGAGGTTGGAATCTCCTGAGTTCTGTCGTCTTTTTGAAAAAAAATTCTTGTTTTTCCAGTCAGTTTCATCATCAATATTGTAATGCTGCATCTTGCTATTCTAACAGGTCCCTTTGTTAAGTTTCTTCTTGCCTGGCAGCATCAGCAACTAAATGTCCTGAATGGGTTAATTTAGCCACAGTATAAAGATGTTTAATACTCCAGAAGATTTTCAGCTCTTCCTCACTTGCATATTAAGTGCTATCTGACCTGAAGGACACCTCTCCTAACACAATATCATCACTTTATCTTGTCTAACCATGTGCTTTCTTTAGTAAAATACAGGTCTGGTTAACCATTGCCTTCTCCTCCACAGTGTGGATTGATGCCTTGCTGTTCTCATTCAGCATCTTCCAAAGCACTACAGTGTGATATAGGCTCCTGCTTGCTTTAGCTGGGTGACTTTCATGACTTACACTTAACATGCTGCTCAGAAAGTTATATATAGATAAAGTATGTCCTTATCAGCTATATGTTAATTGCTGAGTGGAATGGTATTCACTGGCTTTGAGCCGGTGCAGTATTAAAAAATTCCAAATTTGTAGCAGAGGACAAACCTCTTGTACCAATTTCAAGACCAATGATGGCTTGGGGGGGGGGGCTTAAACTTTTAAACATTCTAACAGCAGCTGATGAACTGTAAAAATCCTTACATTGTTCTTATGAACAAGTTCTGGAATCAGCAATAACATCTGATCAGCTATTTTCTCCAGATATGCAGCAAATTGATAGAGCTAGGAAACTCTGGGGGTCACAATCCCCAAACATCTCAAGTATATTAAACTGAAGAAAGGCTGGTTTAAAAGAAAAACTAATCATGATTTTTTTTTCTATGATTCAATTGGAATTTACCTTCCCAACTTCTAGTAGAAGGAATACTACAAAAAGACCAATTTCTGTCTGGATATTAAAAGAGAGTTACCTCAATTTTTCCAGATATAAACTCTTTAAAAGCTTCTTCTGGCCAAGTTTTTTAAAAATATCTGATATTTTGTAACTCCTGATGATTTCCCATTCTTTGAAATCTAAGGGCTAGTGAAATGGGGTGCCTGCTGACTGCATGCTGGACATGCTGGATGTTGAATATGCTGTTGGGAAATATGTGTCTTAGTAGCTTCCACAAGACCAGAGCCAATACCCATGAGGGCATTGATGAAGTTCCTCTGTAACGGTTCATATTTGGGAGGAACAACTGAAACATCAGCACCATCATCCATGCATGCTACGTGACATGCAGCCCACTAAGGCACTCTAGCACGTAAGGGAAAAATTCAGTTGGGCATCTTTTTTGTTAGTACTTATGGCCAGAACAGATATTTTCCCTCTCTATACTTGTGTTTTTTATTTTTATTTTTGTAAGTGAAGAACTTCCATAATTCTCTTAAATTTCCTTCTGCCAGTTTCAATCCATTTCTCTGATCTATCAGTTTGAACCCGGCCTGAAACTCTCACTGAGCTGTAAAGCCGCTTCTTACATTCAGTAACAGGGTCCCATGCGATGTAGAGATATGGGCTATTGTAAGTAACGCCTAAACTAAACTGGAGTGGGGGGGGGGAATGGGGAGGCTGTAATCTCAAATCCCATCAAACCCAAGCTGAGCTCCAATGTGGCCTTTGCTAAATTTCTGCCAGGTAGGGGAGGGCATGTTGAGTTCCTCTTGAAATTAATGAAGCTTGTTAGATTGCATCTCTGTGACAGATGAAAAGTATGATTGAAAAATGTTGGCTAGAGGTAGGTGGTAGGTATGTGTACCAGGTGGCAAGTCTAATAAAAAAAGGACAGAGTATTTAATTTGTGCTGGAAAGGTAGTCACTATAGTTACCCAGATCTTATAATATCGGTTGTGATTGAAATCACAGCATCTCTCCACATCAGAAATCCCCCTCAAATACAGAGTCCAATTTCACTTTAGTTACATGGTTGAGTCTCAACCCTTAGTAAAGACTGCTTGTCTAGTTGTTATGTACTGGAGAAGAGAAGGAGTCCTGGAAATCTACAATTTTTGTACATTTCAAAATGAAGCAGCTTGCTATTTAGACATTTTTCAGTATACACTTAGTTCATCACTGAATCCATCACTCAGTAAATTACTAAACTATAAGCAATATTAGCATTATCAGACCCTTTGGTTTTCTGGAGTGATGAAGGCACAGTTTTCACTTCACTTTGGCTATAAATTTACTACAATAAATTTTCAGATAAATCCTTCCTTAGCTTGTCACCTACACATGTAATCTGACTTTCATATCAATAGTATCTGAGAAGTGATTTACACAATTAAGCATAATCATAGGATTTGTCAGCATAATGATAACTGATCCCAACTATTGATGCTCACTATTTAAATGATTGGACAGTTTCCCATCCTCAAAATCAATAATCTTCTATTTGAAGTCATCTAATATTTTAAACATTATTAGTCCAATTCCAGTTCATGGATAAAGATATTCAGTATCCTTGTTTGCCCTTACTTGTTAACACCTGGATTCTAGACTGAACATAATAATTTCTAAGTTTATACCTATACGTATAAATCAGCACATCCAGTACACTCCAAAACTCCCAATCTTTAAAATAATGTTTCCATGGGGTACTATGTGCTAGGCTGCATTAACAGAGGGATAGAATCAAGATCACATGTAGTGTTAATACCACTTTACAATGCCTTGGTAAGGCCACACTTGGAATACTGCATACTGGATGTTTTTAAGAAGAGATTGGACAGCCATTTGTCTGAAATGGTATAGGGTTTCCTGTCTGAGCAGGAGGTTGGACTAGATGACCTACAAGGTCCCTTCTAACATTATTACTATTACTATTATTACTATTATGATATCCAACAATGTCCTATGACCAAGATTCTTTTATCATATTTACTTGTAAATATTGTAAGCCCTCTTAGTTCAAAGGCCTACATTTTCAATGAAAAATCCTTCCTTTCAAAGGGGGCACATTTATAGTTAACTCTTCGGGGTTTCTAGGATATGAATGCAATGCCCCCTGATTAGTTAAGATCTGTCCCAGAAAATATGTCCATAAAACTGTAGATATGGTTGGAGACGAGAGGATGGGTGTTGGCAACGTAACTGTATCTCCCTGTCAGCAAGTAATTGTTCCTATTAGGGTTTTGTTATTTTTATAAATCAGATTAATATTATCTCTGAAGAACATTCTTACTTGATTCGGCTACAGTACATTACAATACATTTAAGAAGAACCTATGCTCTATCATGCCATTTCACTAGCTCTTGTATAAGCTTTTCCCAGCCTTGATTTGGTTCATGATATTCTCTGTAGTTATGTTTTTCTGCAGTCACCTGAGAGGATCTTCAGTGTTACCACTGAAAGTAGATATCCCTGACCTAAAGTTTATGGTCTGTACGCATTGTCTAGTTTTGCCTATCCTGTTCCAGGATTTCTAATTCAACTGTGGTTTGAAAGATTAGCACAGATTTAGAGCATAGATTTCTGGCAATCCCTTGACAACATGTGAAGCCACATCTTCAGTGGCATCTATAATAAACTGTTGTACCATGACAATAAATATACACCTGCAGTGACATCAGCACACAGGTACAGTACTTCTCTGACAGAATTCAGTAAGCTGCAACTATAGCAGGATAACATCATTACATATTTGCCTCCTCTTGTCCCTTCCCCTAATATCTTAGCTAAATTATAAGTTATACTTTTAAGAAATATGGTGACACATTTTATACTAACCTATCTGTGGCTGATGCTGCATTCCTGTACAACTCTTACTTAGGACATTCAACAAGATTTACTTCCAAATAAATGT